AAATGTGCTGCTGAATCAATGTGCTCATGGAGAATCTCAGAGGAGCTGTGTGGGGGCTGCAGGCTCTGAGTCACTGCACCACCTGATTGCTCCTTGCAGAAACACACAGGATGCTCTGCTCCTTTCTTTACAGGTTGGACCAGGCCCTGGCTCAGTATTTTGGGGAAGCTGCAGAAATTCCAGAGCAGGATGAGGTGTACCCAGCAACGCCCGTTTCTGTTCGGAARTGTCCCCAGTGCAACAGTGACATGGTCCTGAAGACCAGGAAGAATGGCGGGTTGGTGACCTTCCCTCTTGTAGCCTCCTGTGCTGGTTTGTGTTTCTCCAGGCATTCATTTACCACCTTTGGTAAAAGCTTGGAAACCTTGGTCTGCAGCTCACTGACTCCACCAGCTACATGAGCTGTGTGGACTCAGCTGAACCTCTTCTCAAGTAGGTATTTGCCTTGAAAAATTGCAGTTTTGATGATTTCTGATGGCTGAGAAGACACAATAATGGATCCTTGACTGTCTTGACTTTGCATTGCTCAGTGCCTTTGTCCCACGGCAGGTTCTACCTCAGCTGCATGGGCTATCCAGCCTGTAAAACTGCAGTCTGGTTCCCTGATTTTGTGCTGGATGTGACCAGGGACGAGAGCATTTGTGATGTGTGTAAACCCCACCCAGTTCACAGGTAGGTCATACCAATTATCCCTTGTGGCATGCTTGGGCAGAGACTTCACGAGCTAAGCTGGGCAACCATTTTCCATTCCAGTCTTGGAAAGCTGGAGTAGCACTTTGGGATAGAAAGAAGAGGGGCTGGGGAAACTGATCTACATAGAGCAGAATCAAAACAATAAATAAAAATTCAAATCTAAACTGAGTTCTGTTGGTGAGAAACAKTTGGGGGATTTTGACTCTTCTTTCCTTGCAGACTGAAATTTAAATTCAAGAAAGGCAGCGTTCCACCCGTGATGCCCCTGGAGTTYGTTGGCTGCATTGGAGGCTGTGATGAGATGCTCAAAGAGCTCTTGGACCTCAAGTACTTGCACAGACCATCCCAACCTGCACCGCCCTCCACCCAGSCAGGGCATCACCTGCAGGCCAACCACTCATTGAACAGAGCCAACAGCGAGAGCAGGCCAGCCAGGGGGGCCTCAAACCCGGCACGGGGACACCTCCTGTCTGTGAACTCCTCCAGGACCCCCAGGGCTGCTCCTCCAGCCCCTGCTGACGACGGGAACAATGCTGTGGTGTGCAACTGTGGGAGCGAGGCGCTGCTGCTGACCGTGCGCAAGGAGGGCCCCAACCGCGGCCGCCAGTTCTACAAGTGCAGCTCCAGCACCTGCAACTTCTTCCTCTGGGCTGATGAGCAGCCACAGAACGGAGGCACCGCGGCTCCACGCAGCTCCACGCTGCTCCAGCCCACTGCTGGAAGAGCCCCKGTGGGATTCCAGCGCCCAGGAGGAGGGAGAGAGCCTTTGGGAAGCAGCAGCTCGGATGCTGGAGGTGGCACAATGTGCAGGTGTGACCAGCCTGCCGTGACACGCACAGTGCAGAAGGACGGGCCCAACAAGGGRCGGCAGTTCCACACCTGCCCCAAGCCCCGGGAGCAGCAGTGCGGCTTCTTCCAGTGGGCAGATGAGAACTCGGCACCAGGTACGGCTGGGTGGGGGGAGACACAAGAGCTTGAGGCTGATCTTAAGCTGAACAAAACAAGGAGCTGCAGGTGAGGGTCCAGTGGAGGCCACAAAGATGGTGAGAGGKCTGGAGCATCTCTCTGATGAGGARAGACTGAGGGARTTGGGCCTGTTTAGTGTAGAAAAGACTGAGAGGGGATTTCAGATTTTTTWATGCAGATAAATATCTCAAAGCTGGCTTCCAAAAGGATCGTGCCAGCCCTTTTTTTGGTGGTGCTCAGCAACAGGATGAGGAGCCATGGCCAGAAACTCAAACACAAGAAGTCTGACCTCAATATGAGGGAGAAGTTTTCTATATTAAGGGTGGTAGGGCTGTGGAACAGCTGCCYAGGGAGGTGATGGAGTTTCTCTSTCTGGAGACATTCAAACCCACCTGGACAYGTTCCTGTGTCACCTGCTCCAGGTGACCCTGCCTTGGCCAAGTTGAACYRTGTGATCTCCAGAGGTCCCTTCCAACCCCAGCTATTTAGAGAAACCCCAGGGATTCTGTAAACTCAACACCCCTCTGACACATGGCAGCTCTTGTGCCACCTGATCTATTTAACAGATGTCAGGTTTGTCTTCAGAACATCTGTCAGAAGCTTTACAGCACTTCAAATGTTGCTCTTAAATACAAAGTCTGGCTTACCTTTCCGAGTGCTGGCAGGATATGTCCTCACAGCACATATCYAAGCAGGATGCTTGGCTTCTCTGTGCAGTAAACTTGACCATCTGTCTGTCCATGATTTGTTGGATAAAGTCCAGCACTCTTTCCAACAGTCTGTTTGGGAATTCGTCCTCCCAAATTACAGTGCTCAGCTTTATGAGAGCTGTTATTGACTTGGTACAGAGTTGAAGCAGTGTCACTACTTTTGGAGATCTTAAACCCCATTCTGGCATGCCAGGGAAACTCTGCTGCTCCCTCTGCCCTAGTTTAGGGATKCAGGGAAAGGGCAAGTCATGCTGGAGCTTTGATCAGAGATGAAACCGAGTGTGAAAAGATGCTGAAAACAAAACTAATGACAAAATAAGGATGCAAGAGAGAGAACTGACAAAAAGACACATAACCAGGTACAGAGGGGGACATGTGGTCTGTGAGACATCCTCCTTCTCAGAGTTTTGGTCCTAAAGGCATAAAATCAAGTTTTCAAAACTACTTAAAGCCTAAGTTTTCCTCTGGCATGTTTTGTTTCTGCTTGAGCTGTAGACCAGAGCATGCAAGCAGGCAGATCAGCTTCCCCTGTGCTGTTCCCACGTCTCTAATGCTGCAAGACAAATGGGTAACATTTCACTGTTCAGACAAATCTGAAGCAAATGCAGGTTCAAGAATAATCTGAGAATCCTTCATCTGCTATTTTGAACTTGCCTCRTGTTTCTCACCTGTTTGTGTTTCCAAAGCTCCTTAAATTCGAGTTGTTTACCTCTAGGCCCTTCTGGAGATGACTCTTTGAACCACTTTGGCAGCAGTGGATACTCAAGAGGGTTGGGAAGCAAAGCCAAGAGACCAGGCAGTGTCTCCTCAGGATCTGCTGCCAAGAAACCACGGACCTGCAGCATTTGCCACCAGCCTGGGCACACGAGGAAAACCTGCCCTCAGAACCACTGAGCTGGGATGGACCTCTGAGAGCCTGGAAGGACCAGGATTGTGAACTGCTGCAGGAGCAATCTCTGCCACAAGGAACTGGAGTTTGGAAAGAAGTCCCTTGAGTGTTTTTTGGAAGGRCTGCTCCTGCCAAGGGATGCCATTTGTTACTACAAGGGTTCAACCAGCTTGGAGAAGTGGTTCCACTACCAGCTTTTGTTTTCAGCTGCTCTTCTGCWGAGCAGATTGGGATAGTTTGAACATTCCAAGAAAGCACTTGGAAGCTGAGTCTGCGGAGTAAACTGGACTGGATCGTTCCCCTGCACCATCCTGGTGGCTGCCCGTGGCCTTTCTGTAGAGGGAAGAGCTGGATCAGGCCACCAGGACAGACACCAGGGCTGCTGAGCTCTGCCCAGCCCYTGCCTTTCCACAGTGTGGAATTCAAATTTCCTTCTAAGTTGATGTTACCTAAGCAACATTTCCCGTTTTACCTGGGTTGTCCCTGCCAGTGAAAGAGGGTCAGGTGCAGAGGAGTTGGATCTGATGCTTGTCCTGGGAGCAGCTCAGCTGCAGTGCTCAGGAAAAGCCTTCATTTTAGATGGTCCCTCAGTTTGAAAGGAAGTTCTTCCTCCAAGTTTGAGACATGCCTTTGTGATGCTGCTAGCTGATGAAAGTTATTTTTGTCAAACTACTAAGTTTCTTATTAAAATATTTAAATTTTAAATTTGACGCAGTGACACCTTAATTCTKCCTAATTATTTATTCCTACACAAAACAGTGAAGCTTTCACTGTAAAAGCATCCAGCCAAATCTTGCTCTTTCCACTCACTGGAACAATACAGGAGCTTTCTTGGCAGAAATTCCCCACAGCAATTTAGAAGTGAGCTACAAAGGGATAGGAAAAGTTGTTTTATCTCACCAGCTGCATCTGCTGACCCAGGACAGACAGACAGAGCTGGCTGAGCTGAAGGGAGGCTCTGTTTTCCTGCTCTGAGTTCAGACTGAACTCCCTGGGAAGCCAAACTGTCTCTTTCCTCACTGTTGGGGCTTCCTCTGTTCATCAAAGGAGGGAGAKCTGCAGGATTCCTTTGTGCTGTGCTGCCAGGACCTCCAGTGCTGCTCAGGATCCTGCTCCTGGGCATGTTCCTGGGGTCAGCACTGAGGGGATGGGCAGGAAGCTGGAAGCAGAGCCCACAGCAGCACAGGTCTGAAAGAGAGCCTTAAACTCTGCAGCAGTCCATTGCTCTCAGGCCTAAATCCACGCAGAAAATCAGGAGAATTTGGGTTGCATTTGTCTGTACCCCTCACTCCCACCATTAACAGCCGTGGCCTAAAAATATACACCCTGGGCTAAAATAACAGGATTACGAGGGTTTGGAATGCAGTCACGAGCCAAGGTGGCAGCAGCCTGGGCAGCCACCTTGGAATGGCAGCAGCAGTGGGAAGCAGCTGTGCAGGACATGGTGAGCAGSGTAAACCCTGCTGGTGGCATCAGCCAGGACAAGCTCTGAGAGTCCAACCCTCAGCTGAGCCCTGTCAAWGGTACAAGCTCAGTGCCCAGACAGCTCACACACTTCTGTGGGTGCAGGGCTTTGGAAGAGGAGAAGGGAGACCTTGCAGGATGGGATCTGACCAACACCAAGCTCTCGATGCAGCAAGGGGACACCCTGGGTGGTTCCCAGGAAGGCCACCACAACTGGGGGGGGTCACTTCAACCCTCACCACAAGGACAGAGACAAAAGAGAGCTGACACCGGAGAAGCAGTGTGCACAGGGAAGGTTTATTCTCATCACTGACACCTGGGAAGTGGTTTGGAGGAACAAAGGAATTGTCAGACAGGGAGGAAAGGCAGGTTTTTTCCTCCCATAAACAAGATGAGAGCTGTAAAGAAAATTAAACCACAACAGCTGCTCACAGTGAAGTCCACAGGATTTCTCCAGCTCCACCCACATGCAAAACCARCTCTTCCCATTAAATATAAGAAAAAATTCCTTTGCTCTGGGACTAGAGCCAGACCAAACCCTACTAGCAGCCACTCAAAGGAAAAAAAACAAAAAACCAACAAAACACCCAAACAAAACATATCTTCATAATAAAAAGCATAAACCACTTCAGTTCTTGCAAGCACTCTGCTCACATCATTCTTTCCCTGCTTCCCCACCCCATACCGAGGGGTGCCAGGAAAAAAGGGACCTCAAGACAGCAGCAATACATGTGTGAAAAGGTGACCAGACAGACCTGGAGGGGACACAGCCCTGCTGCAGCCTCCAACTGAAACCAGGAGCTTCCCCAGAGCCAGCAGCTCTTCCAGCAAAGCACTGCATGGGACAAAGACCCCTTCCTCGGGGCAGTGCCAACACTGTCAGGACAAAGAGGCAGAGCTGAGCTCACTCCTTCTGGCAGCTGAAAGGGTTTCCAGGGAATAACCCCCCAGCCCCATTTGCTATGGCTGTAGCATCAAGCACCCAGACAAACACCCAGGTCATCCATGAGGCTTATTTTGGATTGGCAAATTCCTAGAGGTGGGTGGGGCTCCCCCCTGCCCCGAGTGCTGGCACAGTGAGACCATGTGGTGTGCTGGTGAAAGAACCCACCCAGGACGCTGCACCTGAGGGGTCTGCAGGACACAGCAGTGGGAAGGGGCTGCTCTCCTCCAGCTCCAGCTGGTCTCGGAGCATGAGAGGAGCCAGACAGCTGGGACAGGCAGAGGACACTGGGAGCCAGAGACCAAACATGCTTCAATGGGCTCCCAGCAGACAGAACTCACCCGTGGGTACTCCCGGTGTGGGCTGCCCTCACCCCAGGTTCGGCAGAGCCTCCAAGCCAAAGGCTTYTTCTGCCAGCACCCACCTCTACTCAGGCACATTTTATTCACACAGGAAACTTCTTTTTTTTTTCTCATAAAGTGCAAGAACTTTGCCTCTTACTGACTAGTCAACTAGAAGCATCACAGCCCTCACAGCGGGGAGCAGCAGGCAGGGGAGCACCACCCCACGTTCAGGAGCTCCAACACACCGGTCACTTCAGCAGGACCTCTGGCTCAGACACGGCCCTGTAGAGCACAAAGCCCATCTCATCGATTTCCTCTTCCAACAGCCCAGAGAAAAGGTTGATTTTGGGGTTGAAATAGGAAGGCAGGACCCCTTTCTCCAGGAAGGCCACCAGCTCCTCAAGCACCTGCTGGAACCTGTCAGCAAGGCTTTCCTCTGCCCAGTCTGCATCAGTGTCACTGAGGTGCAGGATGACGTGGGTCACRGGGCTGCCACCCAGTTTGTGCAGGCTGGGCTGGCTCCTGCACACGCCGTTCAGGATGCGGAGGCAGAGCTGCCGAGCCCCAGAGTCGCCAGCATCCAGCTTCTTCACCCTCAAGACCTCTGCCCTGTAAAAGCTCTCCAGCCAGAGGTTTTCCACCAGTCCTTCRGGAGGAACAGCCAGAAGAACCTTGTCCTCCATTTCCACCACTGGGAAGAGGGTGATGCTCAGCTCAACCTGATCGTGTTTGACTTCCAGCTTCAGCTCCCGGGAGGCCACGACGGGGTGGATGGCACAGCCCAGCAGGCTGCCGATGGCAGGCCAGTTGATGGAGGCCACCAGCAGCTTGTGGAGGGTCTCRTTGAGCACGTTGGAGGAGAGGTAGCGGCCCACGATGAACCTGTCCCAGGGGCTGCACCCCCGAGGGAAATAGCCCAGATCGATCCTCTTGATCATCCAGTACTGGGGRTTCCTCACCACAGTGTCCTCTCCCGAGATGAGGCTCCAGAGCCCGGYGTCGAGGACCACCGGGAGCATGAGGTGGATGTGGTCAGCTGCCAGGACCTCGAGGCCATCGAGCAGGGCTCCTCTGAGGAAGAGGCGGCCAAAAGGCAGCTCCGGGCATTTGCTGCGCAGGAAGTTCTGCAGTTGGGTGCTGATGCTCCTGGCCAGCTGTGGGACGAGGGATGCTTGGATCTCGGGCACTTCCAGCTCATTGCTGTGTGAGAGGAGCTTCTCCTGCAGTGTGAGGCAGCGCAGGGGGCTGGACTTGGCCTGAGGAATCCCCAGAGGGGCAGAGCAGCCTCTGGAATCTGTGAGAAGGGAGAARTCACAGCTCTGAGCAGATCATCTGCAACTCAGCAGCAGAGGGGAAGGCACGAGTTGTGTGCCCAGCTCTCAGCCCACYCCTCTGGATGGGACACTGACCTCACCAAGGGCCCACTGATGTTAACAGCACTTTTCAGCCCTGCAGAGCCCAAACCAACCTCAAAACCCCACTGTTCCCAGCCTCACCCCTCAGCCAGAGATGGGAATCAGGCAAGGGACTCAGTGCCAGGGTCAGAGAATCACAAAAACATCATTAAACATCACAAAACATCCTGAGCTGGAAGGGACAATGATGATGATCATCCAGTCCAACTCCTGGCCCTGCACCGACACCCCAAGAACCCCACCCTGAACCTGAGAGTATTATCCAAACACTCCTGGAGCTCTGGCAGCCCTGGGGTTGTGCCCATTCCCTGGGGATCCTGGTCAGTGCCCCATCACTCTGGGGAAAGAACCTTTTTCCCGATATCAGCCTAACCCTCAGTTCCTGCTGTTCCCTCACATCCAATCACTGGCCAACAGAGCAACCAGTGCCTGCCCTCCACCTCCTCACACAAGGATCCTCAAACCATCCTGCTCTGGGTCCAGTATCTCAGGGCATGCCCTGGACCGAGCTGGGCCASTTTCCCACTTGGAAAAGCTCCATCTCCATGGGCAGCTGGACAAGGCAGCCTTTGTCTGCAGCAGCTCCCGAGTGCACCTTCCTCCAGGCAGAGCTGACCCAGAAAACKAGTGCAGCCAGAGGAAACAAACCCCGACAGCCCCCGCCCTGGCTGGGCAACCAGGGTGTTATCAGAGGTGCTGTTTCCACAGGCATTGCCTAAAAAGGGGCCCTGGCTTGGGAGCCTCCCAGGCGGCAGGCTCAGTCGGGTCAGCTTTCCGGACACGGAGCTAAAAATAACGTGGAGCTCCCACAGTGCTGGGAGCACTGGCACAGCCACCCGGAGCACATCAAGGTGATCTCCCTGCCTGGACAGCAGGAGCCTCACCTGGCACCAGAGGCTGAGCTGGGGAGAGCAGAGGCTCGCTGAGGTCTTCCCTTCTCTGCTTCTTGGGGGCTTTTGGTGTTGTCTTGATCAGTGCCAARTCCTGCCAGCTCTCCTCCAGGCTCTTCTGCTCAGCCTTGGGATCRCCTTCATCCCGAGGGCTGGTAGCTCGGTCGATCAGCTGGGAGRAGGAAAGAAAACCCAGAGATAAGGTTTTATCTCTGTCTCCCATGAATTATGGGTGACAGCAGCCCCTCAGGAGCACACACATGGGGGGACAGCCCCATGCAAGATTTCTCTTCAGAAAAACTCCGAGTTTGGGGGGGCCACAAAGGTGCACATCATTTTCCCATGAGTTTTGTGAGGAAAACAGATACCCAAATACAACTTAAGTCCCAACTTGGGATGGGATACTGTATCCCGAATACTCCAGCCAAATAGAACATGGAGCTGTACATGGTCTCACATTTGTGCCACATGCAAAGAACCACTTCAGGAGGAGACATCAGTCGACGTTTGTGGCACATATTGCCCCACTACACTGCGGACAACCCAGCTCTCTTGGGCATCTTCCCGTGCTCTGATCCCCGCCCCAGCCTTACCCTCTTGACRGCCAGCGTGGCGATGGCCAGCACAGCCGCGCCGCTGACGCCCAGCACCAGCCTGGCGTTGGCCARCAGCACGTCGAACACGCTGCCCAGCCCGTCGATGACACTGCCCAGCCCGCCGTTCTCCTGCCGCCTGCCCCGCTGGTGCCAAAACGCCGCCATGGTCGCCCTGGGGAGAACGGGAGTGTCACCCCGGGCTGGGGGATCTGTCTTCCCGGGACAGGCACAGCGCGCAGGGAGGAAGGGTTTGGGGAATAAGGGGTTCCGCTGCCTCGCTTCCCTCCACCCGCGGAGCAAAGGCTCCCGCCGCCGCCGGGACGCCTGGGTACGGCGAGGGAGCAAGGGTCACCCGGGGAAGCGACAACCCCGGGGGAGGGACAGCCCAGGRAAGGGACACGCCAGGGAAAGAAGAGGCATTCCAGGGGAGGAAGGGACGCCCCAGAGACTGGGTACCCCCGGGAAGGGACATCCCAGGAAAGGAAGAGGCATTCCGGAGAAGGAATGGACAAGCCGGGGAAAGATCACCCGCTCCTCACCCGGCCCTGCCGCAAAGCGTCGCGGGGCACCGGCGGTGCTGGGGCGGTACCGCGGCCCGCGCCCCCGGGATGGGAGCCCCCCCACCGCACTGAGCGAGGGGAGGCGGCCGGGCCGCGGCACCAGAATCGGG